TTCTACATTTGGTGCTATTAGGCTCTGCAAGTTGCAGAGCTTTAAGGTGTCAACTACCTCAATAAACAATGATTATAAACAGTCTGATGGCTAAACAGACACATACAGGATCAAATATTTTCCATACAAGCAAACAAACAAATAGATAAAAATGAAGAAAATTATCACAGAACTATAAACATTCTATTATTAACCAGCAATCTGCATATCTTCCTCCAATTAATGCCTAGAAAGGAGATGCGAGTCAGTTGAAACTTAATTACTGGCATAACACTTTGTTGATTAGAAATGCAGTTACAGTCATTGCTTCTATTCCATTTATACAAGGCCCATAATAATAAGCCAAGGGATGTCAGTCACTGCTTTCCTGCCAGTAGTTTCTGCTGTAGCAATAGTTTCTGTGTAAATGCACTCCTTCACCCATGTCACTCAGCTCAGTAATTGCCTTGCCACTCACATAAAGAAATCATTTCGGGCTTTGATGGGATTTTGTCGGGGATGTGAAACTGCTCCTGCAATCTCTGCAGCAAGGTGTTAGGTGGGTTACTTTGGTGGATCATAACATGAAACTAATCTTTAAGGAAGCAGGTGGAAAATGAGAGAGGAGAGAGCACCTTATATGCTGGTAGGAAAATGGTGCTTCTCACATGATCCACAAAAGGGAAGTATTCAATGAGGTGGAACTGAGACAAGAAGAAGGGGAAGGCAGAAGCAAAGGGAATAAAATTGCATTGCCATCTTCATACCATCAAGAACATTTCTCAGTGCAGCACATCTTTCAGAAGCTCTCATAAAACTATGTATACTTATTTCATATGGCATAGGTAGCTGACCAGCAGTTTAATTTCAGCTTGCTTCATATTATTTGGTCCTCCCCTCAAACTGCACCCTTATCACCATCATTTCATCATTCCCATCCTGAAGCTGCAGATGCAAAGTTTTTCTCTCAGTATGTGACATGCAGCATTCTTCTTACTTCACCACCTCATTCCTAGAATGAGTGTTCCAGTTCTGCTTCTCACCTGAGGTGAGCCCACAGTCCAGTTTCAGGTTTCCCTGGGACACCTGAGGCTCTCCCCAAGCTCTTCATGCACTCACATGCCTCTGCGTGGCCACAGCCTGACCTGTGCAAGGGCAACCTCTAGGATGGTAAGCAACCACTAACCTTGTCTGCTTGCTATCAGAGCCAGAACTTGCAGCAACGAAGACAAAACTTTCTTCTCCCCTGCCCCTTGCGTCCCAGGTGGATTTATACTGAGATTTTCATGGACAGGTATAAGAAACATTCAATCTATATCTCTCTCTTTTGATGAGTCAAAACTTTATTAGAAATACAATTTGTGAGTAGCAAGTTGAGGACAGAGTAAATGGAAAGATTCACAGAAAGGTGTGTTTCAAGACCCCTTTTGGATGGAAAGCCATATCAAGGATAGGATAAGGAGGCTTAAAATTAAAGGAAAAATGTAACTGTCCCACAGTATTAGCCAGAGCACATTTCTAGTATTATGATTCAAGTTTTCCCTTGCAGGTATAAGGGACTGAATAAACCAGCCAAACTGTCCATGGATAGACACAATAGCTTTGCTTTTTTACATTTTCAAAATAGCCAGAGTGAAGTATTATGTACAGTTTATGCAAATTACTGTAATTTACACATTTTTCCACCAGAAAAATAAAGCACAGCTTACTGAAGTTCCAGAAATTGAAGACACCAGAAATACCAAGGAGGATGGGGGCTGACCAACAGATATACACATTCCAACAGGGAACTTGTTCTAATATCTGATAGGAAAAGCATAATAGCAAACTCATCTATTTCAGTTGTTCCCAATGAAGTTTTGGGTTTATTTCATATTTGCTGCTTTAATATTCGATATAGCTGTCCCAAGATCCTCTGGCAGGACAAGAATTAACTGTCTTCATGAGCTTTCTATTTCTGAGCACTCTCTTGAGAGAGAGATGAATCATGATGATCTTAAATGCACCAAGCTCCTCATCCCTTCATAGCATTGTCTATATCTTAACCACTGCACAAACTTATAGCAACTAAAAATATATTAAGTTAATGGAAAAAAGCCTTTTCATTCTTAGCCCAAATGGTTCTACTTTGATTGCAGTATATTTCATCATAGCAATATTAAGATACTTCCAAAACTGCTCTTGCAGTTCAAGGAGGTAAAAAGGTTTATTTGCTTCAGGGGGACATCAGATCTAATCTTTTGATTGATTAGAGCACTTTTTCATATAGGAAAACTTGGATACCTACAAACCATGGATTTAAGGAAAGTAAAGCTTACTGGTTCTCCCTTTACTCCAAAATAAAGCATGGTATCTATTCTTACCTTCAGGAAAGGCATGACAGCTCTTAATGCATATCTTTGGAAGTATCAAAAGGCTCCAAAGCTGTCAGGATTTACACCCTTGTGAATTATAGAATAGCACAAACGTAATATTTAAGGATTAATTTTTTCTTTGTCAAACAACACAGAATAAAGTTCTTAATAGTATTATTCTTTCATGTTTTTATGTTTTTAATATTTGGGGAAAAAAAACCCCAAACAAAAAACTAAATTAAAAAAAAAAAAACCTTCTTGGCAGGTAGCCTGACTTTGTATTGATCGCTTCTTGTTCTTCACATATGGTGAAATGTTATTTTTAATGCTGACTACACGCTAAATAAAGAGAGATTCACATAGGGTATATCCAAAATAACCCAGTGTTGGGCTTTCAGTACCCCAGAGTGGATTTGTGCCCTATTTTTGGTACTTCTTATTTCTTTAGCATAGCATTCTTTAAAACCAATAAATAAACATAAAATCTACAATCTTAAAATATAATCTAGGCAAAACCAATTCATAAAATACTGAATAGTTGATGTACAGTTGAGGCAGAATTTAAAGACTAACCACAAATTTAGGACAGTTTCCCACACATGCTCCTCTCTTCAAAGTTTTCAATAAATCTCTTACACTCTATTCCCATTCTCTCTAGCTTTATATTATTTTCCTCATATTTATTTTTTATTTCAATCAAAAGCCACTTTCTTGTTTTTTTATTTGAAAATTGAAAAAATTAATTAATTTTTTTGGATTCCTTTTTTGGCCCCTTAGGAACTTCTTGCTTTTTTCAAGGGGACGTTTTCCCCTTCGTTTTTTTGAAAATTGGATTAAATTTTCCCCCCCGTTTTTGGAAAAGGCAGAGGTTGTTTCCAGGCAATTTTTTCAGGTTTTAGGGTTTTTTTTGTTCCTTGTTTGTTCGGTTGGGTTTTTAAAAAGAAAACAAACCCAAAACCCAACTTCCAAATTACCACCCCCCTTACTTGTTAGTTACCTTCGTTTTGTTTTTTTCCAGGCCTTTTTTTGCCTCCTTTTTGTTTTCCTTTTGCTTCCCTTTTTTTTTTTTTTTGCTTTTCAGTTGCCCAAACCGGACCAGGTTTTGTTCAGGAAATTACCCCTTTTGGACCGAATTTTTAAACCCTTCTTCCAACTTTTTTGCAGTTCTAACAGAAAAAGCAAACCATAGGGTCAGTCCAGGAAGAAAACAAGGGAATTAACAAAAACCAGATAAATAAGAAACTCTTTCATCAGCATAGCAATAAATAGCCAAAAGAGGCAGCAATAAATAAAAACAATGATTACTGCAGGGACTTCAGCCTACACCTCTCTAAGTGTTTAACCCTTGCCCCCTCTTGTGAACTCTGTTTATCTCCTCCCCTTTGTGCTTTTTCCTGTTCCTGAGGTCCCTATTTGTTTATCACCTGTCTCCAGAGCAGGTTGGCTAATTTAGATGTGACAACTATTAGTTGCCAGACAACACGTGGCACCAGCTTTTACACAAGTGTCTGTATTTACACATTTGTTCTTTCACTTCTTTGGGGGGAAGATCATAAAATCAGCATGCTGCAGACATGAAAAGAAGAAAGAACCTCAGATAATCGAAGACACCACATCTCTTACGCTTAATTAATATCAAATTTATGAATATTAATGCAAGGAACACCTAGGCCAAGATGGAGAAGGGTGTTTTGGAGAGAAGAAACAAATGCAGCTGCTGATTAGCTTTGTAAAGGCACACAAAAAAGCTGTTACTGATGGCAAGAAAAGGTGTTTCATGTGTTCCAAAAACCATTCTTAAAGCAATGCAATACAAACCTGTTTGGCAGAACAAACCCTGAAATGCCTAGTGTGTAGCAACATGGCCACTTGCATGGTCACTATAAAAGTGCCATGAAGCCAAAGGACATAACTGTTTCACGAGTAGACTCATGGGATTGATAAAACATCACATACAGGCTTCTAAACTCAGTTCAGCTCACTTTCTAAAGAGAACAGGAAAAGCTCAGCCCTTCAGCAACCTTATTCACAAAGCAGAGCTGTCATGTTTCATGTTAAAGATATCTTATTGGCTTATGTGTCCATGAAACACCCACACAAAGGCCACAGGGGAGCAGGAGACCCTAAGTGAGCAAATAAACAGACATCCTCCAAGCTTTGGTTGCATTCAATAGCAACAAGAAAACCATTGCAGATTAAAGTGAATGGAAACACCAGGATGAAAACCTACTCAGAAATCCAGCCCCATGGAGGGGGAATTTGGCTGAATTGGCCCCTTGACTGATAGCTGAGAGAGAAAACCCTAAGTGACAGCTAGAACAAGAGGGTGTTATTAGAGTCACTGCAGGTTTCCTAAATGTTTTGGGATTTTTTGCTGTGCCTGTAAGAGCTTCCAAGGTTGTAATCAAGAGCTCAATCCTTTGTTACTACACAATTTGCTTTCCTGAGTTTATATTCTTGTTTGAACTTGCCTGCTGTTGTGTAGCTCTGGCAACCTGAGGTGCATAATTTCTCCCGAGGACAACAATAAAATAAATAAAAGAAGATCCCACAAAGAATGTGCATGTGTCCCATCAAGAAAACTGAATGCTGTGAAGACTGGTGTGATGAAGATACAGGACACACACAAAAAAAAAAGGTATATTTTGACAGATACTTTTCACTGACCTGCAAGTAGGGGAAGAGATGGTTTATGACATGAGGGAATCCCACAGTGTCTCATCCTGATGTCAGTAGAACCCAGGACCAGCAATCTGTAAGCTTAGAAGCAAACAGAATATTTACATATTCTCTAGCTCTTCAGGCTGCATTGGCAGTATTCTGTGTGTCAGTTTTAAGAGCTGCCTGATTCTTAGCAGCTGCACCTGATTATGTGCCAATTAATACAAGAGCTCCCACAGTGTAAATATGAAAGGTTTCCTTTTCTCTGCTGTTAATTTTTATCTTCAACTTCAAGAAAACTGTATTGATCACCCCATACTAACAACATCATTTATTATGGTTATTAGGCTGTTATAAATCCCAGGGAACCTCAACAGATCTTACTATTTTAGGTAGGGGATTTATAAGAAACATTTGGCAAATTGTTTGGATGAACAAAATGTCCTGTCTCTAAACCATATGCCCCCAGCAGCACCAGCTACTTGTGTTTCCTTCTCCAATGTGCTACACAAAATGCCTCCCAGTCTCTCTGTTTGCCTACATGTCCATCCTAGTGCACACTAATAACCATGACTGCACTGACTGGGAACCAATTCCAGAGACAGATGGATCAGCCACAGGGAGGGAAGGCCTGGGGCTGCCTCCAGGTCACACAAAGTGACCAGAGACTCAGCCCTTGGCAGGGCAGGACAACTTATTTCCAAAACCTGGCAGCCACCTTGGCCTCCTCTGATATTCACTCCAATAAATTTCCAGGAGACACCTTCTGCACGCCCCAGCAGGTCCCTGCTCCTGCCTGTACTTGGAGCAAAACAAAACCAAAACCTTTGGCTGAGACCTTTCCAAGCCTCCTGAAGAGGCTTGTGACTGGGAGGTAGCTTAGGTCAGTCTGCTGCTTTTGAAAACTCCTCTTCTGGTCTGCAGTATATTTTGTGTATTTAATGTATAAATATTCTGAGAATTAATGCTTTCTCCCTCATAGCGTTGCATAATAAAAAGAGAAATAACACCTAGGAATTGCCACTGATTTAGAGCTGTAAACTATTTCTTCTCAGCCAGCTGGCTTGTGTGTGTGATATAAGCTGCTGTGTATTTAAAAGCATAGCTTTCTCCCACGCTTGTCTCATTTTGGGTGACTTCTCTGGTGTCTCTTTGCAAAGCTCTTTTACCAGGGCAGTGATTTGCAGTTCACACAGGCCACCAGGCTGCTGCATTATGACCTTATGTTATAGATAATACAATTTAAGATGCTGATTACAGAATGGTTCTGTGAAATAGGAAGGAAATTTCTGCTGGTCTGTGAGGCTATTTTGCTTCTCTTGAAGCATAAATGAGTTTATTTTCTCACCCTCTAAAGATCAGCCATACTCTTTGCAGCAGACAGACATGATATATTTTCTGCTAATCCTATGGTTATTAATCTATCTTGTGGAGCAGCCGTGGCTCAGAACCAAAGCGAAGGAAAACAAGGTTTGAACTTAATACAGTCATGCAAGGTGTTTGTTTTTACAGGTGACACACCTATGGCTGGCTGTTTGGAAATGTGGCATTATTCAATGGAATACAGAAAACAGTCAGACTAAATGATTCAAAAATAATAACCTTTTTGCAATATGCACTATCTCTACAAGTGAAAATATTAGCATTATTAATAATAGCCTCACATTAATGCAAAGCTGTGCTGTCACCTGCCACAGAACAGCAGCTGTGTGTATGACTCCAATGGTAATTACATTACAAGGATGCCTGGAGCCTTATGCTGACATTAAGTGAAACAAGCGTGGAATTTAATGCATTTAACAAAGTAAAAAAAAAATTAAAATAATACCTGTAATTTAATATATGCATGTTCTTCACCATGGCAATTACCCACGAGTCCACAAAGAACAGACGGAGCTTGAGGGTATCAGAGAGTTTATTCAGAATTATTCCTAGGGATGATAGCACTTCATGGTTTGAAAAACAAGCTGGTTCATTACATTGCTTTCTGCTAACTGCATTTCTGCAAGATGCCCCTTTCATTTGCTCATTTGCTCAGCCAGGACTGAATGAAAAGGAGCTGAAAGGGAAAAAAGAAATTCAGAATTATTAACCTAATTTTCCAGCTTAATTTTTAGCACAAAGTAAAAACATGTAATCATCACCTCATAATAATCTGTGGACTCAGTTATTCTCACTTAGGTAGGGTTGCAGAAGTTTATGCTCCCAGAAATATATGCTTGTTGGGTTCATCTGGATCTGCAGCCTTCCAGAAGTCTGTTCCAGATTTCTGAATAGACCATGCACCCTGATGTGCTGAGGGCATCCAAATGCTCCAGTTGGATCATCCTCAGTGATCAGCAAATAGATCCTTTTTCAGCATAGGCCAAGTGTAGTTTCAGGTTACCATGTTTCTGACACACGAGATGTCTGAAATGTTGAGCTGAAGTGCAAAGTGTACAAATTTAAGATTCCAATGTCCCTTTTTTGTTTGTTTATGCCTCAAAACCCTAAGAAGTAAGGAATTTGCCTCCTTACTCTGTCATTCTCAGGTTAAGTTCTGAATTTCTTCAGGTCAAGACAGCTACTTCAGGGGCCATGCTAGTTTTTCTTTCTTTTATTGTTCAGTATGCTGAGGAGATAAGGGAATGGGTCACGAACATCATCAGAAACATCACATTTGTTTAAGCATATTTGTCACCACAATCTCATTGCTATCGGCTTTTCCTATGCAGTGGTGTAGAACTCATAAAACTGTTCTTAAATATTGACCCATTTTATTTGCCTAGTTACCAGCTTGGTTCATTTATTCTAAAATAATCAATAATAACCTGGCAAAACATTTCCTCAAGCATTTTCTAACCAGCCAGTATAAGACCAATGTTGAAAAAATTGTTTTCTTAATTACAATTCTAAATTATGCTTTGTTTATTCAGGAAAAAAAAAAACACACACAGAAAAGTATGGTCTTATCTAGCAAGTGAGATTCTAAAAGATCGTGCTTTTTGAAATTATAGCTGGAAGTTGTAATGGCACAGGACTGTTCCACTGAAATATATTTATGATGGAAAAGAAATTATTGGAATGAAAAGCTATGCTCTTTCAAAAATGTTTGGATTTCATTTAGGAAGTGAGATCAAAATATTTTGCTTCAGGATAAGTAATCTGGTATTGCAATATTTGGTTGTGAGACAGAGTCAAAATATTAGCATCATTACAGTGATAACATGCAATTCTGACAAAATCCCTCAGCCTGCAGAGAAATTTCCTACAGGTCACTGCAAGATTCAGTAACATAAGGTAGGATAAAGTGTTTCACTGTGGCTCCACAAACAGAAATTAAATTTATGTGAAAAAGTTTAAATTACTTCACTTCAGCTTAAAGACCTGAAGGGTTGTGTTTGGACATTACAATTTGAAGAGTTTCTTTGGACTTTGGTTCCAGATTTAACTTTTGTTATGTTTTATGTGAATTTATTGTCAATATTATTATTTATTTTATAATCTTCCACAGTAAAATAAATTCTAAATTTTTAGGATTTCTAGCATCTGATTATGTTTATCATAATCCAAGAAACTAAATTACCTTAAACATAAAGTAAGCCCATTTGTCTGTCCCAAACACATATTCACATGGCTTTAACAAGACTTAAGGGATGAAGGGCAATATTTTGTAATTACAGGAAAGAAAAGCCTGCCCATTGTTTTACTTCGCAAGAGTCTTCCAGTGTCTAAATAACATTGTATTCTGCAAAAGCTTAATAGCCTAGTATTTATTTCTAATTCTTGAAAGATACATGAGAGAAAGATGAATGTGTTGCTCTCCCTGCTGCTGAGGTGAGAGGGATTGTTCCGTCAGCCCTTTGAACTTCCTGTTTGGCAGGTAACAGACCCTGCTAAAAAAATAGCATGTCCAAAGTGTGAGAAATTATTACTCACTTGTAGAAAGGTTTATTAAACTGTACCAAAAATACAACAGAAGACTGAGTAGAGAAAATGTTACGGTGCTGGGAGGAACAGATTTTCCATGTGCTCACCCACACAATGGAGGTTTTGCCTTTTTACCCTTTAACCCCTCCCAAAGCTCTGTCAATCGACCTCTTTGCTGTTCAGTGGTGGACATCACTTCCTCAAATCCTGATTGGAGGTCATGAAATAGAGATTTTTGGAGTTCACTTAAGTTAACTAAATGAATTAAGCATTTATATTTTAGCTTGTAGAGTTACGTGTTGAATTTTAACCTTTTACTTAAAAACCTCTGCCATGGTACAAAGGGCATAAGAAAATGCAAATTTTTGAAATTTCTTGCATAAAGAACAATGCCTAGGGATGCAAAGAACCCAGATAAAGAAGCTCCACTGTCTCCAAGCCCATCAAAACTGACAGATGTACTCAGATAAGCACCAAAGGACCAAAAGCGCATGCACAAAGGAGAAAAGTTCAAAAGTTCAGTCATGAGGAAGACCACAATCTTCAGCCTCAAGAGACCACCAGAGACCCCCACAGGACCACCACGGTAAACCATGCATGCCTAGAAGGGTGTGGACCTATTTAGCATGAGAGGCGAGGACAGGCGGGGCCAGGGGTTGAATATGCATGGAAAAGTTGTGTAATGTATGGAATATGGAACACCTTTCTCAGTAAAGGTGTGGGTCAGACCGAGGCTCGGTGCACAAGTTTTTGGAGAGATATCTCACTTGTGCTGGGTGCTGACAGTACATACCCACTTCAGAACTACTCCAGCTTGTGGAGTCTATTTATCCCACGTATTGCTTCAGTCAGATGTCACCACAGTGACAAGCTAACCCTCCCAATTGTCCCAACCCTGGCTGTCTCTGGACACCAATGCAAGGGGGTGAAACATAACTATAAATCTATAAAACTTTTCTTTACGTATTTACATGATAATTGTGAGAGTCAATCATCGCATTACTCATCTATCACAAAAGATATGCTTGAAGCCTGTGCTTAGACTGTGTGAGAAGTTTTTATTGAGCACTATGAATACCCAGGGAAAGCAGGGGGAGGGAATAACACCGGTCACTCCAAACTGACACACCAAACAACTCAGTAAACCTGGTGCCATCACCTGGGACTCTTAGTTATTGAAATCTAGAAAAAGCCACAGCACACAAAAATCAAAAACCTTGCTGCTGTAGCATGTGACAATATGACCCAAATGCATGGAAAAGGATCTGGAGAGGGCAAGGCACCCTGAGGCATCAAGAGGGGAGGTGGTGGCCATTTTCTGGAGGCCTCCCAGGGCCTCTCTCTCCT